TTTCTAGTCTGGCGTAAGAAGAAAACTAAATTAAGTGGAAAAAACAAGATGCACATTATCTGATAACGTTAAAAAAATTGAAGGCGAAATAAATACGTTATAAACTTTTTCTCAGGAATTTTTGTCAGCATGAATTTGTCGGATGAATTTATAATATAGAGAAGCTGCGATGTGTGTCGATAACGCTAAAGAAATTAAAAGCAAAATATGTTACAAATAGATGTATAAACTTTCTTTGAGGAATCTTCTCAATCAGATTTTATGGGATGAATTTATAACGTGTTTCGATGTCACGTAATTTCAATGATAAAATTTAAATATTGCAAAATTCGTCTTTGGCAAGACACATTTAATTTGTAAAATTTTGATATTGACTTTCTCGTTACTTCCAGCGACATTTGTACAAAATAAAGGATCCTTGATGATATTAATTAATTAATTTCATTTTCAAAAACCAACGAATCCCTCGTTGTTCTTACTTGTTTCAAAAGGCTAAATAGGTAAAGTCAAACTGCATTGAATAATTGGTTCTCCAATTAAGCTGTTACTTCGAAACGAAGGGTTAAACGAACAACACGGCAATTATCACGGTAAATTGTGATAAATTCCTCCATGGAATTAGAGTACGGTATTCATTACAATCTATTCAATTGTTGATTTCACGTTGTTCCCTGGGTACATGTATCTTCACCCGGGGTCTATCTCGTAGATTCGCATACCATTCGCGGTAATTACCGTGTTAATTTATGCTAAGCTTAATTTTCCATCGGGTCGCAACTTCAGAGAAACTTCGCCGCGCTGTAAACAATGATTGCAATTACAATTCCCCGCCATTTCTACGTAAGAAACTTTTCAAGTATGCTCGCGAAAATAAGGATTTGCTTCTTCAGAATTCGTTTATGGAAGTTGAAATTAACGACTTGCCCTTTTTTTTTTTCTTTTTTTTCTTTTTGCCCGCCTGTGTATGATGTTTGATGGCAATCATACACTCTCGCTCGAAAGTTTGGAGCGCACTTTACTCTTTCGTGTATTTTTCTGAGAAACAGGAACATTGCGGAGGTCATTATTCCTTGCGAGATTCATCCTTGATAAAATATATTTAATTAGTAATATTTTGTATTTTTGTTCCCTTTTATTCGGAAAGTTAAGAATATATGAATATCAGCTTGTCCCGTTCCATTCTATAATTTATATTCGTTGAGAAAGAAGATATTTAAAATCAATCTGGAATCTTAACGTGCTCTTAATTTTTAAACGGGAGTGTATTTACGACAATAACGACGATGCCTTTTCTTTTTCTTTAAATTTATCTACCATTAATTTAAGGACAAGCTTTTCTTTTTTTAAAGTGATTTTTATCTTTTTCTAAAATCTCAAGTGTATTTTTTTTTACAAATTATTTTGTACTTAAATTGAATATCAAAATGATTGTTTCTACGAAGATTATCATTCAGACTGCTGTTTAATTCAATAGCAGACGTCTTTAGTTGTGTCATAATAAATATTAAAGATACGATATTTAAAAGCAATAATAATAATAATTACGAGCTATTAACAGTAGCTTAAAACTTGCATTTGTAATTTTCAATTAATAATAGTCGCCAGTTTTCTAAACATAATAGTGGTCATCAGTGAATACAATTAAGATCAGTGACAACTGTTAATAATCATCTTTGGTTTCATTTTTCCACTGTCTTCGACCCGCCTTTCTTATACATTACAAACATAACAACGCAACAAATATGCATACTTCACGCAAGGAGAAATTTATTACATACAAAATAAATAAATAAAGATACGACAATTTTACAATAGACGTGATCATAATTAAACTTTGGTATATATTAACTTACTTTCACAATGATCGTTCAATTTTACAATAATGCAACAGATATATTATCGCTTTTTGTATTATTATAATACAACGTGTGTAATAAATATTACAGCATAGTAAAGTACAATAAATCCTTTGGTATGATAATATAAAATACTCAGAAGTAACGCAACAATCGTATAGAAAAATATTCACTTCGTAATACTGTCAAATGTCATTTCTCTAAAGTTCCGACCCGATCGCGTCTAATGTATGATCGAATTTACTCTCATCACGAATTTATAGCCGTTTATTGGAATGATTCTCCTTGTTAGCACCATGCACGATTATACCTACATAGTTATGTTAATATTTATATATTCATTTTATTTAATAGCACGGGTCTACCAGTGTCAGTTAAATTTGCCAACAATGATTTGTGTAAAACTTTTTTTTTTTTTTGCATAACGCATAACAATGTTTTAGCGTGCGTTCATCTTGTTTTTCTTTCTACGAAAATTCTGTTTAACGATCTAGGAAAATTGCGAGAGATGAAGTAAGTATCTTGCAAGCGTGAAACGAATTTTTAATTTAAATATTTAAATCTATGACTTTTATACCGAATGCATTTACTATTTAAAGTTTCGTGTCTTTTGTCAAACATGAAACGGTGAAGTTTTAGCCTAATACGTCGGAACTTGATGAGTTTTTCTCAAATTTGTGTAATACGTATGACCAGGCGTGCGAAGTTTCTTAAAATTTAATAAAAACATTCGGCATATATTTGTGATAAAATGTCTTCAAGTTTTTTGAAATCATTGATACTCTATTTTCAAAACTTCACTGGCCTCTATTACACCTGTAGTTGCAAATCATTTTGCGATAACATTCGATACTCATTGTAATGATGTATCGAAAAATGTAAAGTATGAATGAAAATTAAGATGCTTTTTAATTCTTCTAGACTGCTTTATAGCAGAGGTGATACAAATTTTCATAACAAAAAAAAAAAAAAA